TAAAAGTTTACCATCTTCCATTACAAACTTGTTCACAGAAAGTAGACTGGTACATTCCTATTCTACTAGAAATATATACAATGGAAAACTACATGTACCATCTTATAAAACCCAGATACTATTATAAATAATATTATGCTTATAACTATCATTATAATATTTGTTATTATTATTTTATTATTTTTTTTATTCATTGTCATTATTTTAAACCTATTTATTACTATAATTTGTAATAATTTTGTTATCTTATAATTTCATTTATTATTATTTAATTATATTATTATAAAAATATCATATGGTTATTATTAAAATTAATAAACGTCCCCTCCTGTGTATTAAGTACCTGAGAGTAACTATTTAATGATTTCAAAGCAAAACTTTTATGCTCAAATACAAACATCAAAATAAATATTAATTTTACAATTTAAAACATTCTGATTAAGGATATATTTTTAAGTAAAACATTAATCAATAAATTCAAAAATATCATCATAAAAATAGGAATGGAATATATGTTTTACGCATCTTTCTGCTTAGTAATTTGGTCAAAATATAGCTGTGACGAATTTTGACACAGGCCTGAAAAATCTTATGTTCTTGAATGCTATTTTTTAATGAGGACTTCGCTCGGTGCTAGAATTAGTTTAACTGTTACAAAGACATTTAGAAGATAGAAAATTCCTCAAGGAAATAGAAGAAATAGAGCTGCTACTAGAATACAATTTTTTGTTTACTTTTACTTATTAAGTAGAGAGCATTAAGATTTTACGTTTAAAAAAAAAAAGTATTTTTGCAAGTTCATAGACTTAAACACTTTGTAAATATTCCAGGGTCGCCGAGAGCTTTCATGGCGCCTGGGGCAAAGCATCTAGTAGGCGCCTCTTTTTGCATCTAAAAAGAATTTAAATTAAAAGCATAAGTATGATAGGCTTTTAAAATGATTTATTTTTTAATGTTACCCATTGAATGTATTTAGTTAAGAAGGTTCAAAGAGTTTCCAGGAGTAAAAAATGCAGAGTTCTTCAAACGGTTAAAATGCATAGTCTTTTCCATAAAATCGTCTTATTTGAAATCTTTAGGGTAGACTCATATAGTGACTTTTATCTCAAAAGAATCTAGTTTCTTTTGAAACTAGATTTTTTTGAGATAAAATTTCAACCAGATAAATGAGAACTTAAAGAAATAGTTTTTGCATGTCAAACCATAATTGAATTTTTTAAATAAATTGATCAAGAGCTACGTCCAAGACTATAATTCAAATGGTTGCTTGATATGACGGGATAGCTCAGATGGTTAGAGCGTCAAAGGAAAAGTTAAAACCCGGACTGTTGAACGATACGGGTTCTAAACCCGCCACCGCCAACTCAGCGCTTGAGTAGTACTTCGGTACGCAAAAATGTTGGTCAATAACGGACGCTACTTTGGATTAGACTTAATGACTATTTATGGCTGTTCCTATGCTAAGCCAACAATATCTTCGGATATAAGACTGTTGAACGATACGGGTTCTAAACCCGCCACCGCCAACTCAGCGCTTGAGTAGTACTTCGGTACGCAAAAATGTTGGTCAATAACGGACGCTACTTTGGATTAGACTTAATGACTATTTATGGCTGTTCCTATGCTAAGCCAACAATATCTTCGGATATAAGAACATTGTATAGAAAAATATAGCATGAAAACTCAAATAAATTAAAAAAAAAATAAAAAAATAAAAAAATACGAGGCTCTCATAGCAGAAAACTGCATTTGAAGGTTTATTGTGAAATCTTTTTGCTCTCTTCTTTCGTTTTGTCAAAAATTTATTTCCGAAGCCAAGAGGACCTGCAACTGCTTTCGCCCGAGCCAAAAAATTGATCTATGATGAGAGGATACGGCTAAGATCACTAAACAATTTTGAAATCCTTATCAAAGATTTAGCTTGATGTAGCATATCAGCGGTAAGGTCAAGATTCTCTATAGTCTTAATCTCAGCGCAAGATTAAACTGCATCTACTTAAGCCTAATTAGAGCTATAGGTCCAACAAATAATATTTAGAGCTAATAGATTCTTCTGTAAAATTAGACCTTGCCCCCGATATAAACTCCAGCCATATTTTAGCCGCCGTCGTAACTTTGGCTATGGCAATTTTACAAATCAAGTCTTCCTTTTAATAATAAATCACATATCATAAGAAAAATATCCACTTTTTTTTTTCCTCCAGAAAAATTTTTTTTACTTATCAGCTTTTTTTTTGAAATTGAAGTGCATAAAACAATGAATAAAATTAATTTGTTCTGTTTGTTACACATCCGGCGTCTTATTGATAATGACCGTGAAGCATCCTGTTTCTCTAACTTCCTTTTAAAGGACACACTGTACCAATGGTGCACACTAATGTATATGAATTAACATTAAAAATAAACTCATTCTGTGATTCCTTTGAAAGATTTTGGGGTTGCATCCGAGTTTCTTTTTTCCGTCTACAATCTGCGTTTTTTAGAATGTTTTGTTATGATTTAAAATTATTTCCAGAGCTCCAAGAAAATTCACTTTCTCTCCAAAAGCAGAAATTTGACCTGTTGCAATAATAATATAAGAAAAAAGGAAAAAAATGTGTTGTTTGTACTATAAAAAATTGTGGCTTTATAAAAATTATAGTTGACCTCTAAACACAATATTTCAAGATAAGAGTTTCGCATCTAGAATACAGCGTTATATTTTATGCCACATTGCTATCTCATACTCTTACGCTTGTTTGATTGCCGAAGCAATCTCTCTATCATTGGTAGGAGTTTTCAACAAAGACTTCCAGGTGGTATAATTGCTTTGGTGGACAGGGATGTTAGATGTGCTTTGATTCGATCACTCAGTTATCTCCAGCTGTCTTTGATTTCGCCGTTACAGCTGAGAAGACATATATCTCCGGCTAAATTGTGACTTTTGCACCCAAATAAGGGTGCAAGTAGGGAGCAAGGAACTTATTGTTGTGCACCAGTAATTTGCATTTTCATGGAAAGTTAACGGTAAGGAAAAAATTTGCTTGATTATTAATAGATACCTGAAACATCCACAATAGATTTATGGTTGTTAAATCAACTTTCCTTTGTAGGAAATGTGGTAGTTCCTCATTACTGTTTCTCTTATCTTAGGTGACAACTTTAGTCTAAGTAATACCATTATCCCAAAAAAGATTGATGTATTAAATAGTATAAGTATCAATGTATAAGGTATAAATAATATATAAATATGTATACAGTGTATAAATGGCATCAATACCAAACCTTTATCAAAATCAATTAATGGTTAAAAAAATAAATTCGTTGCGAGTGTCATCGTGAAGTATTGCACTTTTAAGGCATTGGTAAATACATATGATCTCAGACATAGCATATGGATTTTCACAAATTATACTCAAGCTTGTGTTTTCCAATTTATTGCTTTCTAATTTAACACAAAAAAATTACATTGATTAAGTACCCTCTTGTAATTATGTCGTCACTTTTTCTTTGGTAAGTTGTGCTTGCTTTATGCTATCTATTCTTGGCATTGCAATGCCAAGAATAAATAGCTTTATACCAATGCATTGGTATAAAGCTAAAATTAATATGTTTATCATCATTAGATAAACATAATATTTACGAGTCTGATGACAAGTTAAAGGTAAAGTCACATGTTTTTTCAGCGGTATATTTTTAAATATTTTGTTTTGTAAGTAAATAATCAATATAATCAAATAATAGTAAAAAACTTTTTAAAATGTAATTTTAAAATTGTGTACAAGTTATAAAAACACTCTATTAAAAAAATTTATAACACTATAAAAAGACACATGTTACCATATGTCATATGAAAACAAATAAAATATTTCATTTGATGTGATAACACAACTTTTTGTCATTTTATTTTTGTCATATAATAATTTATTTTTAACATTTTAATAAGATGTATCACTTATCTGTAAGAAAATCTTTGTATTATTTAATAATAAACAGAAGTTAAAAAGTTATAAATGAATAACTGATTTATAAATAGTTATAAATAAATAAGACTTTTTAAAACTGAAAAACAGTCGCAGTTTTAAGTATAATAGTACTTTAAGTATAGTAAAAAAAGTACTTTAAGTATAATAACCCAATCAATGTGAAAAAACGTAATTACCATTTTATTGAATTCAGAAGACATAATGTCTTTCATGCATTTTAAAATTAATATAAAATATCATATAAAAATTACGGAACATTACAAATTTTGAAAGACAGTGGTTGGTAATACTTTTTTTGCCTTCTTACAACAAAGCTCATTAAAGAGTTTATTACTTGTATAGAATGTAAATACTAGAAAAAACATACACAATATATACATATTTTTTAATATATAATAGCGTAAGTAAGTTTTTCTTCATTTTGTAGCGCTCCTGAAAACTTGACGCCCAGGCTCTAATATTTTGTGGCCGTCTGGCAACAAGGCTCATTAAAGAGTTTAACACTAGTATATAGCATAACACACACAAAAAAAGTAAAACACAAGTATAGAAAAAAGCACACAAAAAGTATGTTTTGTAATACATTGGAGCACTTTAATAAATTTTTCTTTGCCTTATGGCGTCTCTAACATCTTGACGCCCGGTGCAAGTATGCCTCATTTACCCCTCTTGGCGGCCGTGCTATTTTGATCTATACTCTATATTCTTGCTCTCTTATCTGTACTTTGATCTGATAATCACGTCCAAATTAAGGTAGTTTTTTAATTTTATTTAAAACAGTTTGAATCAAACTGAATAAGCAAAATCCTAAAGAAGTTCAACAAGAGTCTGTAGTCTTAAATTCTGTATAAACAAAAATAAACTTTAAGAATTATTTTTAAAACACAAACAAAAATAATTGAATAAAACAACAAAAAAAAAATTCATTTATTTCATTTTATTTAAAACTAAAGTTGTACATTGTCAAATATGAGGTTTTTATAAAAAAACTTTGGTTTAAGTTTTAACTACATTGTGCAAGTAGCGTAAGTGGGTTGCGGAACTGAGTAATCTTGAAGCGCTAATTTATAAATACACGCTGGCCTTAAATTATTATTTTTTTCTTAAAAATTTTTAATTAGCTTAAAAAGAAATTACTATAATCTATGTTCTCAATTATTTTGGGTATATACATTGAGTAACCAAATTCTTCATCAATTTGAATAGTTTATTCAAAACGATGGAAAGATTTATTATATAAAGAGAAAGGAAAATATTTCAAAAAAGTTTTCACGGTGCGTTAAAATTATTGTATTAATATATTAAATTTCAATGCACTATCTTTAAGTATTTAGTTTTAAGTATCATGTATTTAGCATCAAAATGGAATTTGGACGAGGAAGAGGGTTGTTTAAACGAAATTTGTCTGATTCACCACTAAAAAATGTTGGCTACGCAGATCTAAAGAATGATTTAGGCTTTATAAACTCTGGTTCTTTTCATGAAAATTATGAGTCTGAAAAAACCTTAACAAGTAAGTTATCTAGGTATTTACACACTAAAGCTTATAGGTATCGAGTACCAAATTGCTATTTATCAAGTATGTATAAGGGAACCTTTTTTAATGGAAAGTAACTGCATATATTATATATGCAGTTGCTTTCCATAAAAAAAGGCTCCCTTATACATACTTGATAAAGGTAACATTGTCATTAAACTTCATAGAAAAATTATATATTATATAAAACTTTTTATATAAAGTTCAATGACAATGTTACATTTTGATTAATACAAACATCTTCTTATATATTAAATAATCATTGGATAAATTGGTTTCAGTTTTTTTTTACTTTGTGCCATATTATTAACTCTATATTAATATAAGATATTATAATAATTATAATACATTAAAATGCATCAAATAAAGTTTAAATTTAAGTTTTTAGTTTTTAATTTTAAACATGCTTAAACAGCTTAATAATTTGTAACTCACACTAAATATATTTTCTCAGTTATCATGAAACTGAGAAAAAATATTTAAATTTTTAAAAGTACTTGCATCAAAATGTTATCTGTCCTAGTTTTAAGTAAAGTTTGGTATAGATATTAACATTTAAGACCTCATTTTAACTGATAATTGCAACAGAGTTTATATTCTGGAGCATTTTCCACCGTTAAGTGGCATCGATCATGGTCATCATATTTTAAAATTTAGATTTGGATATGAAAATAGGTCTAATTTATTAATATCACAACAATCAATGAAGAAGAAAAAATGTTTATGAAAAAAGAGAAACTATAAAGCGTTAGATTTGTATTTTAATAACATAAACTGGGTACAATAATTTGAAGGACTTGGTGTTCATGAATGTTATGAAAAAGTATTCACAATTTTGAAAGAAACTTGGCACTTAATTCAAAAAACAATCCTAAAAGTGTCAAATTTATCAGAAGAAGTTTTAGGCAACATTCTTTTTAAAAAATGTCCATATTTTAGTATTTCTATTATTTAGAAACATTTGTGTAATTTATACATGTACAAATCAGTAGGTCCAGATAATGTTCACCCAAAAGTTTAAAGGGAAGTTCACCCAAAAGTTTAAAGTTCAGAATCTCTTGGATTTGGGTCATCTTTGTGTAAATTATTTTTGTCAGATCAAACTCAGAGGATGGTAATAGAAGAATATATTTCAAGTTGGAAGATGGCTTCTAGTGGAGTATCACGAGATTCAGTACTTGGACCTTTTTTTTTGTAATCTTCATATTGACTTATGCATTAATAAAATCACTAAATTATATGCATTATGAATTATCTTGCATATGAATTATCTTTAAAAATGCGTGAAAATTATCTTTAAAAATACAAATGAGATTGTTAAAAACTGCTTCAATATATTGAGCAAAATATCCAAAATAAAACAATTCTTATTGCACAAAGATTTGTGTACCATAGTATGTTCACTTATATTCGCACAGCTAGATTATTGCAACTCCCTCAACTTTGAAATATGAAAAGTCAGTATTAAAAAAACTGCAGTCAGTTCGAAATTGTGCAGCAAGACTGGTATTTAAAACTAGAATAGAAAATCATGTAAACGACCAGGAATTTAACAAATTGCATTAGCTGATAATAGAGAAAGAATATATTTCAAGGTCTTTTCAATAATGCACAAATCTATTATACTGGAAGCACCAACGTCATTATCCAATTTAATTCACTACTCAATGTCAGATAGAACACTAAAATTAAAGGAAACAAAATCCAGCAATCGTTTTGGTAATCCAAATAACATCCAAAAACACAACTATTAATAAGAAAAAACTAAAATCTCATTTAATGATGAATGGTGAACTACTCCACCAGAAAAATCTTGAATGTTAATTAAAATCTCACGAACATTAATATTAAAATTTTTTTACTAGTATAATAATTTGTTACACAACTGAGAAAGTGTTTTATCCACTATTCTTGCAAAACACAGTAGCTGTGGGTAAACATATGCATTATTTATGCAGACGATACCAAAGTTATTTCAATCAATCATTGTTATGATGATAATAAATTATTACAAGAGGACATTAACATGTTAGTAAAATGGCCTGAAGATTAGTTAATTAAATTTAATGAATCAAAATGTAAAGTCATGTGTATTGGTAAAAAGAATCCTAGATATGAATATTAATTGAACAACTCTGTTTTAACAGAAACAACAATAGAAAAATCTCCCTCAGTGGATAATAGATAAAGATAACTTAAACCTTTTTAAAAACAACATCAATAAATATTTTGGTTTCTAAACACTATTTTTTGTAATCGGCTGTCATAGTCTTTATTCTACATTATTAAGACTTGACACACCTCAAGTGTGTACATCATCTTTTTTATTCTATTCTATTTAGAACAATTCAAGCAGGGATGTAAAGTTTGAGTACAGACTCAACAGTTTCTAGATGATATTTTCCTGTACTTTTTTGTTTGAAATTTGGGAAGTCAAGCAAATAAAAGAATAGAAGATATGCATATATTTTTAAATATGTAGATACTTTTTAAAATCAGTTATATTTTAATAATGTGGATAAACTTTATCTTATATAAAAATTAGTTTTAAAATGAATAGTGATGTTTAATTATACTAATGCTTGCTAAAATGATTAAGAGAATTAAAAAAAAAAATGGAATAAAATTATTTTTTATAAAACAAGGTTACATATTCAAACCTTTCCATTCCCTCCCCGAGTATGCTAGGTCGATTCAATATTAACTTTCTAAAAATTTACCTCAAATAGTCATCTGTTTAATTCTTGTTGAGATATCTTTGCAAATATTTTGAAAAACTTTTAGTTAGTTCTTGATTATTGTTCTATTGACACAACATGGTAATCATGGAATGTATTTGTATGCCTTATGTCATTGGTTTTTATGTCATTTTAATGGCTAAAATATCTCTTGAAATGTTTTGTAAAGGCTATCCAGGTATATTTGTTAAAAGAAATGAAATATAGTTTTAGAAAGCATTTTAATAATGATATAAAAATAATTTTTTTTTTACAAAAATAACATAAAATAAATGTTAAATTTGTTTTATACAACTGGTTTTATCTCTTTTAGTTCCATGCTATTTGATATTATTATAAAATATTTATAATGTAATAATAGCAATAATAATAATAATAATAATAATAATAATAATAATAATAATAATAATAATAATAATAATAATAATAATAATAATAATAGCAATAATAATAATAATAATAATAATAGCAATAATAATAATAATAATAATAATAATAATAATAATAATAATAATAATAATAATAATAATAATAATAATAATAATAATAATAATATATATATATATATATATATATATATATATATATATATATATATATATATATATATATATATATATATATATATATATATATATATTACAATTACAGAACTTTCATGATAAGATCATACGATCTTATCATGAAGCCATTTACAATATCAAATATAATAATAATAACAATAAAATTAAATTAATCAATAAAAATAAATCAGCATAGACTATACATAACTGTGCATTTAAAATATAAATATACTGGATAAAATATATGAAACAAAAGAACTAAAAACAAGAAAAAATATTTTCTGCTGAAAAAATAACTTCTTTTATTTTTCGCTTGAATGAACTTAAAGTCCATTTTAAAGACAAATCAAAATTTGGCAAAGCTATTTTATTCCATAAATAAGGCTTGCGATAAGAAATAATTAGTTGTTCAAATTTAGTTTTGCAGAAAGGTTGTTGTAGATTTTTTCCATTGCGAAGATTTTATTTGTTTATGGGTTTTACATTATAAAGGTGTATAAATATATCAGGAGATAATTGATTTTTACATTTAAATATGAAAAATAAAATATTATAAACATTTAGTTCGTATACTTTAAAGGCTTTCATTTCTCTCAGAAGTGGTTTTGAATTTGAAAAACAATTTACAAAATTAATTAAGCAAGCTGGGTGTTTATAATGCTGATAAAAAGATTTAAGTTTAGTTTAGTGCGCGCTTCCCCATACAATATTTGCATAATTTAAATGGCAGTGGATAAAAAAATAATATAGTTGTTTTAATTGCTGTTTATTTAACATATGTCAAACTTTATATATAATTTCAATACTTTTAGCAACTTTCATGTAGATATTATTGATTTATTGTTTCCAGGATAAGTTTTTGGATGGAATGCAAGGAGATAACTTGAGTCAAGTTCAACTTGAACTTTACTTTGTAACCAATAGCGGCAGAGTATTTTTTGAGGGGAAAACCATACTCTGCCGCTATTGGTTGCAATGTAAAGTTAAAGTCGAGCTTGACTCAAGTTCGCTTCTTGCATTCCACCCCTTGTCTACAAGAACTCCAACAAGATTTGTAACTTTTTCCCTTTTTAGTATTGTATTATCAATAAAGAGGTCAGGCATCGTATTTGGTAAATATTTTTTTAAGGATATTGGGTAAAAAAGTGACCATTTTGTTTTATCAATATTGAGGGACAATCTGTTTTTCTTAAACCAATATGAGATTTTATTTAATACTTGTGTCATATTATTAAAAAGTGTACTTATGTTTTCATGAGATTGTAATAGGTTTGTGTCATCAGCAAAAATTATAGTGGTTAAATTTTTCGTTTTTTTTTAAAATTTTTTTAAATTTTTTGTTAATTCATCTCCTTAAGGCCAAGAAGGCCACTACAGGCGAGGAGGCTACTTATTTGTGGTTATAATCCTCTCTCAACTCTATATTTCTAAAATGCAAACCTTGACGAACAAGGCACCTGCGTGGAGAAACAAGTTGAGCGCGGTACTACCAGGGATGTGGTAGGGATCAAATTATAATCCTATTATTAAAAAAAAGTGCAAGTGGGCAATCAGTAGTTTTTAATTTATCTATAAATCCTTCATTCATTTATTTGCAATTTTCGGCAGAATATAAATAAAAAAATTTTGAGAAAAATAAAACAAATTGACTGATTTGAAAAACTGATCGGTTGAA